CCGGTCGGTCTCCCTTTGTCTGCGGTGGTCTGCGAAGCTTCCCGCCCTCGCCCCCCGTGTCCGTCTGGGTCTGCCCGTCTGGGTCCGCCTGTCTGGGTCTGCCCGTCTGGGTCCTCCCGTGCCCCCGGCCGGCCTGTATCTGACCGGGTCTCCCGCTCTGCGAGCGCTCCTGTTCCTGTCCGCCTGTGGTTGTCTGGCCCTTTACACCTGATCCGTGTGTCCGCCTGCCCCCCTCAACGTCTGCGTCTCACTGTCCGGACCTGGACCTTGGGGGTGGGGGCCGACTGTCCCTCCGCCGAGTGTCCTGAGACCTTCTGGAGGGCCCACCGGGCCTCCATCTGACTTTGAAGCCCAGCAGGGTGGGTGGCGCTGCCTCCTCCCACTCCCAACCTTAGGCCCTGGTGCAAGGCAGGGGTGCCCTTCAGGGCCATTTTGACCCTCATTCTTCTTCTTGCTGGGACCCCCAGCCCTGCCACACCTGGCGGGGGGCTGGGCATGAGTGGGGTGAGGGGAGCCTTCCAGAAGCCACACTGGCCCAAGGCCCGCCCCCACCCCCACCCTGAGCTCCAGGAAGGCAGGGCAGCTGGTGCAGGTCTGGGGGTCAGGGTCTGAGGTGAGAGGGTGATGGATGGAGGCAGCTCTGCCATCAAGTTGAAGAAGGGGAAGTGTCTCTGTATGTATGTCATGCATATGTTCCCTGTGTGTGTCCCTGTGTGCAGTGTGCGTATGTCCTTGTGTGTGTGCATGGACCTGTGGGGAACATGGGGGAGGAGGTAGTCAGGGCCTGGCAGACAAAGAGCCCCTTATGAGGGTACGGTGACAGCACGCATGGGGGTTCCCAAGTGGGATCCGGCTGATGACCCAGACTGTCTAGACGGCGGGCAGGGGGCTCCTCTTTTCCCTCGTAGCTGCGTGGTCTCTCCGGTTCCCACTCCGCCATCGCTAGGCCAACTCCTGGCTTCCTCTGGCTGCTCAGGCCTTTCCATGCGGGGTCCTCAGACAAAGGGCTCATCTGTCACACCCAGGCCTGGGGTGGCCAGAGGGCCAGGAGCCCCCCAGGGCTGGGGTAGGCAAGAAGCCTCTTCTCCGGGGTTAGGGCCTGGGGCCGGTTGATGGGAAATTTAGGCGCTTCTGTGACTCAGGGTGCGGGGCAACCCTGTGTCTAGGGCAGGTGGGTTCAATCTGAAAACACAGGCAGCAGCTGCCTATGGGCCTGTTACTGGGGAGCTGCCCCGTTTTGGGGTCCAAGCTATTCAGGTGGGCAATTCTGGATGTCTATGGGTGTCTGTAAATCCAGGGTGTGTGTGTGTGTGTGTATGTGTGTGTGTGTGTGTGTGTGTGTGTGTGATAATGAGCAGCTGTCTCTTGTGCCAGTTCTGTGTATATCAGGCCTGTGCTGGTGCTCCTGTGGGCTTATTTGTGTATGGATGTCTGTGTGACTGAGTGCGTGTCAGGCTAATTGTGGGTAATTGCAAGTCGATGTGTGAGCCAGTGTACATGGGTGTCTGGCATATGTTAGTGTCACTGAGGGTGACTGTAGTTTGTGTGTCATCCAACTGTTGGGGCCCTACCTCTCTTACTGAAATGTCAGCCCTAAGACGCGGGGATCTTGATCTCTTGTACGCCAGCACTAGAATGGTGCCTGGTACATAACATGCTCAATAAACAGGCATTGGAATTATGGCCATCCAGGTGACTGGATTTCTGAGTGTCCCTGTGCCATTTTCCCTGCAGATCTGTGTGTGTCATGGTGCATATGTTACTGTCTCTGTGTGTATTATTGCAGGTGTCCAGGTGTATAACCAAGTGTTAGGGTAGGTGACTATGGGTGTAGGTATTATTGGAAGGTTCATATCTGTTTGTGGGTGACAGTGGCATAATGGGTGTCTAGGAGGATCGTTTTACCATGGGCAACCATGTATCAGCATGTGTTGCTGTGTTTTCTGTGTCTGTCTAGAAGATTAATATAACCTGATAACAGCATCTGTACAGGCCTGGTACCATCTGTGTGTGTGTGTGTGTGTGTGTGTGTGTGTGTGTGTGTGTGATGTTGCCTGGATGACTGGGTGGCTGTGTCTTTGCTTGGGCAGGCACATGCATGTCCATGTCTATGTGTCTATCTGTACTTCTGTCGGGTGTCTAACATATCTGCGGTTGATCTGAGGATGGGGGTGCTGTATGTCTGTACGTCCTGGGTGACAGCGGTGGGTGCCCATCCCAGTGTCTGTGTGTGTGGTAGAGAACTGTGCTGTATGCAAGGCCGTGTCTATGCCACAGCCACCATCAGGGGTGGCTGCATTTTCCTATGTGGCAGTGTTTTCACAGGATGTCCCATCGCTGGGTGATGTGTGCGCCCATGTGGCAGTGTTATTGTGGGTGATGTGTGTGTGCATGTGGATATCAGCGTTCCTGCAGGTGATGTGAGTAATGATGCTGTATGTCCGCATGGAGTGTGTGAATTTGGGGTTCTTCATCAGTGATGTGGGGATATAACTGTGGCCCTGTAAATGCATCTGTGGGCTGTCCAGAGGTGTGGGGGTACTTCACAGCTCCCATCGGTCCATGAAAGAGAGGTCTTCCCATCCTCCACCCCCAGCATGCCTTCTAGGGCCGTTCCCTGGGAAAGGGTCCCTGTCGCTTTAAAAGGACTCCCCAGCAGGGGATTCGGGGCCATTTTTCCTTTTTAGGGCCAGTTTTGGAGGGCG